TACATAATTTATCATTACTGGAATATCGCTGGTATCCTCCTGTGTAAAAAACTGAGAGGAAGTATGTGTTAAAAATTCTACACATTTCCTTATCACTGTCAGTGAGCTGACCCGAGGAACTTTTGAGTGGGCCTATCTTGTCCCTGATCTTACTTCTGTATACCTGAAAGAATCCTTTTGGGTTAGTCTTCGATTCTCTTGCAACTTTAACCTCATAATCTCTTTTTGCTTTTCTAATTCCCTTTTTTATTTCTCTCTTTAACTGAATATATCGATTTCTTAATTGCCCCTCTCCTCTTTTGATTTGCCTATATATGCCTCTCTTTTGACCAATCAGATATTTTAATCTATTGTTCATCCATTTAGGATCATTTTTTGTTTGATCTGATTTCCCTATTTGGAACATAATTTGACTGAGCAGCTAGAACTATGCCCTGGAAAGCATCATATCGGCAACCATCACCACCTACCTGACCCCTAGTCAGGTCATTCCAGTTCAGCCCACCTAAGTAATTTTTCAGTCCTATGAAATCAGCCAAGCGAAAGTCAGGGACGGAGACTTGATTGCCATTATTAGGGGAATTCCATGATATGTTAAAACTGAGTGATTTGTGATCACTCTCCCCAAGCTCATCATTAACCTCAAGATTATTAATTAGTGTTTCCCTACTGGCAAGAACCAAGTCAAGGAGGTTATTTCCCCTAGTTGGCTCTGTCACAAACTGTTTTAAAAAACAATCCTGGATCGTATCAAGAAAGTCACCCGACTCTAAATTTCCTGTCAAATTGCTCCAGTCAATCTGTCTATAGTTGAAATCTCCCATTAGCACAACATTTTCGTATGTAGATGCCTTACGAATTTCGTCCCATAGAAGTTTACTGCACTCCCTATCAAGATTTGGGGCCCTGTAAATCACACCCAAAATTAGTTTTTCTCGGCCCTCGAGAAGCTGTAACCAAACAGATTCAGTGGCTGACGCTTCTAATTTAATATCTTGTCTAACACAACAATTTAAATTGTCTCTGACATACATCGCTACTCCACCACCTTTCCTGTTGACCCTGTCAGTGTGGAATAATTTATAGCCTTGTATGTGACATTCAGAGGGCAGGAGCGCTGGTGGTAGTGGGTAGAGGCAGTGGGTAGAATGAAACTGGGTAAGGCAGCTGGGATTAAAAGGATAAAGAGAGAAATGTTAAAAGCAGGTGGGGATATAGTTCTGGAGTGGTTGTTGCTTTTATTTAATAAATGTATGGAAGAGGGTAAGGTATCTAGGAATTAGGCAGAGAGCGTGCATAGTTCCTTTGTATAAAGGCAAAGGGAACAAAAGAGAGTGCAAAATTATAGGGGAATAAGTCTGTTGAGTATACCTGGTAAAGTGTATGGTAGAGTTATTATTGAAAGAATTAAGAGTAAGACGGAGAGTAAGATGGCAGATGAACAAGGAGGTTTTAGGAAGGGTAGGGGGTGTGTAGACCAAGTGTTTACAGTGAAACATATAGGTGAACAGTATTTAGATAAGGATAAAGAAATTTTTGTGGCATTTATGGATTTGGAAAAGGCGTATGACAGGGTTGATAGGGAGGCAATGTGGAAGATGTTGCAAATGTATGGAATAGGAGGTAGGTTATTGACAGCGGTGAAAAGTTTTTACGAGGATAGTGAGGCACAGGTTACAGTATGTAAGGAGCGAATGAGATTATTTCCCAGTAAAAGTAGGCCTTAGCCAGGGATGTGCGATGTCACCGTGGTTGTTCAATATATTTATAGATGAGGTTGTAAGAGAAGTGAATGCTCGGGTGTTGGCGAGAGGTGTGGGGTTAAAAGCTAAAAAATCTAACACAAAGTGGGAGTTGTCACAGATGCTCTTGGCTGATGACACTGTGCTTTTGGGAGATTCTGAAGAGACGTTACAGAGGTTGGTGAATGAGTTTGGTAGGGTATGTAAAAAAAGAAAATTAAATGTAAATATAAGAAAGAGTAAGGTGATGAGGATGACAAAAAAAAATAGGTAACGAAAGATCGGATATCAGATTGGAGGGAGAGAATATAGAGGAAGGGAATGTATTCAGATATTTAGGAGCGAACATGTCAGTAGATGGGTCTATGAATGATGAGGTGAATCATAGAATGACGAGGGAAAAAGCGTGAGTGGAGACAAAAAAAACTTTGTTCATGGAAGCAAAGATGGGAATGTATAAGAGTTATACCAACGCTCGTATATGAGTGTGAAGCATGGGTGGTGAATGTTGCAGCGTGGAGAAGGCTGGAGTCAGTGGATATGTCGTGTCTGAGGGCAATGTGTGGTGTGAATATAATGCAGAGAATTCGTAGTTTGGAAATTAGGAGGAGGTGCAGGATTACCAAAACTATTATCCAGAGAGCTGAGGAGGGGTTGTTGAGGTGGTTCGGACATGTAGAGAGAATGGAACAAAACAGAATGACTTCGAGAGTGTATAAATCCGTAGTGCAGGGAAGACGGGGTAGGGGTCGGCCGAGGAAAATTTGGAGGGAGGGGGAAAAGGAGGTTTTGTGTGCGAGGGGCTTCCAGCAGGCATGCGTGAGCGTGTTTGATAGGAGCAAATGGAGATAAATGGTTTTTAGTACTTGACGTGCTGTTGGAGTGTGAGAAAGGTAACATGAAGAGATTCAGGGAAACCGACAGGTCGGACTTGAGTCCTGGAGATGGGAAGTACAGTGTCTACACTCTGAAGGAGGGGTGTTAATGTTCCAGTTTTATAACTGTAGTGTAAGCATGCCTCTGACAAGACAATGATGGAGTGAATGGTGAAAGTTTTTCTTTTGGGCCACCCTGCCTTGGTGGGAGACGACAGGTGTGTTAATAAAAAAATATAATAAAATAATATATATATATATGTCGTGCCGAATAGGCAGAACTTGCGATCTTGGCTTAAATAGCAACGCTCATCTTGCCATATAGGACAAGTGAAAATTTGTGTATGCAATAATTTCGCCAAAATCATTCTGAACCTAACGAAAAAAATATATTTGATTGTGTTTGTTTAGTACTAAATTATTGTAAACGTATTTAAAATATATTTAGTTGGGTTAGGTTAAAATAAATTACACTTGTTATAATAAGGTTAGGTAAGTTTTCTAACATTCTTTTTTTTCAAAAATTATAAATTTTTACATTAACATTAATGAAAAAATATATCTTTAAACGTATAAGAGAAAATTTCAGAAAGGACTTAATTTTAAAAGAGTTCTTGCTAATTGACCAGTTTTACATATTCGGTACGAACATAATTATATATTATATATATATATATATATATATATATATATATATATATATATATATATATATATATGTCGTGCCGAATATGTAAAACTGGTCAATTAGCAAGAACTCATTTAAAATTAAATCCTTTCTAAAATTTTCTCTTATACGTTTAAAGATATATTTTTTTCATTAATGTTAATGTAAAAATTTATAATTTTGCACCAAAAGGAACTTAGAAAACTTACCTAACCTTATTATAACAAGAACAATTTATTTTAGCCTAACCCAACTAAATATATTTTAGATTTGTTTACAATAATTTAATACTAAACAAACACAGTGAAATATATTTTTTTCGTTAGGTTCAGAATGATTTTGGCGAAATTGTTGCATACACAAATTTTCACTTGTCCTATATGGCAAGATGAGCGTTGCTATTTAAGCCAAGATCACAAGTTCTGCCTATTCGGCACGACATATATATATATATATATATACACACTAAATCACTGTAAAAGAGTAGTCACGAAAGCGCTTGGAATTTCACTACTCTTTCACAGTGGTTGTTGTGCATATTTTAAAATCACCTGTTTACTGTGATCTTATTGTATATATATATATATATATATATATATATATATATATATATATATATATATATATATATATATATAATAATAAAATTTATATATATATTACATGACCCCGCCTCCTGCTTCACCTCACCTGACTACAGTACATAAGCCACGTCTACGGCTGTGTTCAGTACTTTCTACAAGATTGATGGACTGAACACATCGGCTCCAGGCTGAGGGACTGATTACCTCAAACTCCTCCTCTCCTTATTCCTTCCTGCTTTGTATAAGACTGATGAAGCCACTTTGTGGCGAAACGTTTCTTCATTAAAGAATCCCATATGTTGCACAAGTGTCTCAATTCTTCAACTTGTTGGTTTTCAAAACCATTCATCACAACAAAAATGTAACAGAAACATTTACTCGAGTGTTAATGGCCATAAATGTCACAAAAATATCCGCTGCTAAAAAAGCTTTAACTCTTTTTGAAAAACTATCTATTATATAGATACGTTATTTTAGTTACACCACTAGATTTATCGGAGTTAATGTTTTATTTTAGTTACACCACTAGATTTATCGGAGTTAATGTTTTATTTTAGTTACACCACTAGATTTATCAGAGTTAATATTTTATTTTAGTTACACCACTAGATTTATCAGAGTTAATATTTTATTTTAGTTACACCACTAGATTTATCAGATTTAATATTTTATTTTAGTTACACCACTAGATTTATCAGTTAATATTTTATTTTAGTTACACCACTAGATTTATCAGAGTTAATATTTTATTTTAGTTACACCACTAGATTTATCAGAGTTAATATTTTATTTTAGTTACACCACTAGATTTATCAGAGTTAATATTTTATTTTAGTTACACCACTAGATTTATCAGATTTAATATTTTATTTTAGTTACACCACTAGATTTATCAGTTAATATTTTTATTTTAGTTACACCACTAGATTTATCAGAGTTAATATTTTATTTTAGTTACACCACTAGATTTATCAGAGTTAATATTTTATTTTAGTTACACCACTAGATTTATCAGAGTTAATATTTTATTTTAGTTACACCACTAGATTTATCAGATTTAATATTTTATTTTAGTTACACCACTAGATTTATCAGTTAATATTTTATTTTAGTTACACCACTAGATTTATCAGATTTAATATTTTATTTTCATTTCGAATATTTTTAGAACCTTAAAAGAAGTGACAAGTGAAGAAGACTGGAGTAGTTGGTCTCCAATGATGTACCACCGACAGCATCATCCAGGAGGACAGGAGGAACTGTCACTGCAGATTGGTCTTCATATGCACCTCCCACCAGAAGATGGAAGTCTAAAGTCTTTTCAAGATTATCTATACCTTGGACAGGTAAAAAAAACTGCATACTAGTTATATACTTATTTCAACCTTTAAAATATATAATGGTATATAATGGAGGGCAACTGATTTTCCAGTCTTCATTTGGAAGGTCACTAAACCAACCATTATATCAACATCATTAAAAATCCCAAACGTAAATTTATAATTAATTATATGTTCCAAGTTTTTACTATTACGAAAAAATAGCTGTCATTCTACTGTGTTAATATTATTATTAAAGGTGGTTACATTACGCTTTGTTAGAGGATACGTACTTGTAATTCTGCTGTGTTGACTTTACAGGATGAATGGTGTTCTCAGTTATTTATCTAAGTAATTTCTTTGTCTCTAAATCAATAACTTTTTTCTAGATTAGTTATATTAGTTAGATTAGTTATATTAATAGCTTTATCCCTCTTTCCCTATATTAATTATCTGATGTTTGTGACTGATCGCTTCCGCACTCATGATGATGTTTATTATGATCTATCATAATTGAGTTAACGGTGATACTGATTATTATAATAATTTATTCCTTATCTGTCTCATCCTATACTCTATATACTATAGTAGATTTACTCATCACATGTCTATTAAATCAAAGAAAATGCTTATCTGCTGATAAATGACTTCAGAGAAATTAATTTTACTAGGTAAGATCATTCCCGAGGTTAGTTTATGTGTCCTAGTCGTCTTGCACGTCCTATCACAGCAAATTTGTGTGTGTGTGTGTGTGTGTGTGTGTGTGTGTGTGTGTGTGTGTGTTGTGTGTGTGTGTGTGTGTGTGTGTAACTTAATTCGCAGATGCGTGAAATTATTTACAAACATTATTGCTCACTTCACAGCAGGATTCGAACCTGCACACTCTGCAAAGTACGCAGTACTTTAGTCACTCAGCCAGACCCCAGCTAAGTTAAGCATTTCACAATCTCTTTCGAAGTTCACTGCATGTAACAGGATTTGATGAAATAACTTATCACTAACCTGGTGTTCAGGGGCATGGGAGTGACTGTCCAGTTGACTGGCTAAAGTATTGCATAGATCGAACCCACGACCCTGCGTGGGTTCGAATCCTGCAGACTGTTATCTCTTTATGCTCTCCTGTTTCTGCGTGGTGGATTGATATAAAAATCGATTATGAGATCAGAACATACGGGAGGAGAGGCTCATGCTTGAGGCTCACTGGTATGCCCGGGCTGGGAAGAAACGTCAGACATCTCTGGCTGAATGGTGTAGAGGGTCACTTAGGGAACGCTGACAGTCGCCCCTGTGTGGGTTCGAATTCTGCTGACTACGATCTTTCTCTGTGTATGTATATACACAGAAACAATGTCGTGCCTAATAAGCCGAATCGTCCAGTTTGGCATAATGAAAAAGTTTTAGCCATAAATCTGCGGAAATAGATGTGAGCATAACGAAAAAAAATATTTATCATAGATTTAATTTAATATAATTAAATTGATCGACGATATATATAGGAGAATTTAGCTAAAAAAAATTAACACTTTTAGCGATGTTAGGTGAGGTTTCTAAGTTAGTTTTAGTCCAAACATAAAAATTATATTATGGTTAGTACAAACAGATTAGCTATCTGTAAAAATTTATGGGGAAAAGATTGATTTTTAAGTGAGTTCAGCCTATTCGGTAATTTCGGCTTATTTAGTACGATATATATATATATATATATATATATATATATATATATATATATATATATATATATTATTATATATATAATAATATATATATATATATATATATATATATATATATATATATATATATATATATTATATATATATATATATATATATATATATATATATAAATATATATATTATATATATATATATATATATATAATATATAAGTATACATATATATATATACATATATATATATATATATATATATATATATGTATACATATATATATATATATATATATAATATATATATATATATATATATATTATATATATATATATATATATATATATATATATAATATATATATATATATAATTTAATTTGCCATTGTAAAGACTATAGAGTCCAGCACCGCATCCCTGCATGCGCTAACCTGAACCTTACACACTGCATAAAGATTTTCATTACCCTGTCTCCTCCTCTTCCATACATTTACAACATCTGCCACGTGACTCACCTATCCAGTCCGTCATATGCCTTTGCTAAATTCATTAATGCCATAAACAGGTCCTTACGATTATCTAAGTACTACTTACTACACTACTCTCGGTCTACTCATCCCCTGTCCTTCCTAAATTTTCCCTGCTCCTCTGAATTTTTTTTTATTCTACCTTCATCTCTCTCCATAACAATTCTGCCATAAAGCTTACCTTGTATACTCAGTAGCGTTATCCCTCTGTAATTCCTTTATCGTTTTTGTTCATTTTTCCTATATATAAGGGAACTATGCACGCTCTCTGTCAATCCTTTGGTACTTTCCTTTCTTTCATACATTAAGTGAACAGGTACACCAACCACTGAAATACTATAGTCACATCTGATTTTAAGATCTCTATCTTAATTCTAACTTCCCAAGCCGCTTTACCCACTGTCATTTTTCCCACTGACTAACTCACTTTCCCTACATCCACCACAGGCTCAAACCCATTTATATACAATGTTATCTTTGCCTTCCCTTTGCATGAAATCATCACCTCCCCTTCATTACAAACGTCTGCCAACTCGTTAATATATTCCCTCTTTCTTTCAGGAAATCATATATTTGCTGATAATAGTGTGACTTTGTAAATGGTCTAAGTCGGACCGAAACGTCGTCGTAAGCTCCTCTCTTCTATGTGCGGGTTATTTGTGTATATTTACTGAATAAGTAGAGTGTAAATGTGTGCATGCAGTAAATTAGCATAAAGCAGACTGAACATACTGTAAATTTGTGTTTCTTCAAGAGAAGCTTTTTCCGTGTACTCTAGGAATAATCTTCCTCATAGATCCATCAAGCAGTAGCGATAAAGACAGCAACTGAATTCTATCGTCGAGGCATGAGTGTTTTGGAAGACAATGGCGAGGGTTACACCAGCGGGGCACTGTACTGGCAGCTTAATGATATCTGGCAAGGGGCATCTTGGGCATCAATTGGTAAGTTAAATGCTCTAGTACTCAGCATACCCTGCTATTCAGTATACTTTGGTGTTCTGTATATTCTTGTACTAAGTATACACTGGTACTCAGTATACTCTGGTGCTCAGTGTACACTGGCACTCAGAGTAACTAATACTAAGTATACACCTGTACTCAGTGTACACTGGTACTCAGTTTACTTTGGTGCTGCTAAGAAAAGACACAATAAATCTAACTGTTAAAAGGACCACTATTTTCTACACAGAGCTTTATGTAGTAATTCTGAACATACCAGATACGTATGTTCGTATGTATACTCCTGAGAGGTAAGACAGAAACATGTGAGAAACATGTAGGGATGATATGAGTGAAATCATTCGAGTGTGGTGAATCGCGAGCTCATGGCAGCAAGTACACTTCAATAATAATATAATCTTTATTTCTACAAGTACATGTACAGTCCTAGCTGACATCAATCACGTACTACTATACAGAAAGCCCCTTGTTATGAAGAACATTTCGGGCAAATTAGGTCAGTTTTGTCCCCAGGATGCAACCCACACTAGTCGACTAACACCCAAGTTAGTCGACTGATAGGTGAACATGGACAGCAGGTGTCTTAAGGAAACACACCTAATGTTTCCACCCTTGCCGGGGCTTGCACCACGGACACTCAGTGTGTGTGAAGCGAGAGCTTTGCCTACCAGACCATGGGCCATGGTCACTTATGTTGAAATGTCATCTGGTTACTGGCTGTTACATTTTGTCCCATTGCTGGACAACTCTACTTCCAACAACTGTCCCGTAATATGATGCTTGTAAAGTGACTTAGGTAAAATTAACATGCCGTAGTTTTGGCCATTCGTATTCTACATATCATTTGCAGGGAACAAGGTAACTGTTCCCTGCAGTACATATACGTAGTGGAGAAAGTATGTCACTGGTGAAGGTCAGGTGATGGCGTCAGGTCATCAAATAGGAAAGTAAAGTGGCAGCAGGGACGGCTGTGAGATAATGCCGTCACCTGATCTTCACCAGCGACCTGCTTTCTCCACTATTTCCTTTAGAGAGACGTAGATCCCAGAACTCAAACATATCCAGTAAAGATGTTCGAAGTGTCATTTCACCCATATTTTTAGTACATAGGAGAGCACATAGGAGAGAGGCGCTAATGACGACGCTTCAGTCGTGACTATGTCAATGGTCCAGGTCGAACCGAAATGTCATCGTAAGCTTGTCTCTGCTATGTGCGGGTTATTTCTGTGTTGCTCCAATTACGGTACTGGGCCTTTTTCTTCTTAAATGTACTGTTCATCACAACCATCACAGAAAATGGTGCATACTCCAGTGCTAATGTTGTCTTGGCTGTTGTGTTCTGTTGTGATGAAATTTATGGTGTTTTATGTAATGGCTGAATCATTAAATTCACTGTATATCTGCATAAAAGAAATTATACATATATAGTAATAATCATCCTCTTTGGGGGCAAAAATGATTTTCTGGTCCCCTTTGTCTGTAATCAAAAAGACTTGTGAAGGAAAGTGCTGTGTTGTGAAACTGTACTAACCATGTCACATTCCTCTTCAAAATATTCGGCGCTGCTGTTCCTATAACTTTTCAGAAAGAACCCAGTCAAAACTTTTCATTTAGTTCTATCGCGATAAAAGAAACGTTATTTTTGGTCTAGTTTGATAGGCTGGCCATCAAGAAATAGAAAGGTGGGCGTGGGAGTGTTTGAGTTGGACCTGCCTAGTAATACATTCTTGAGTGTCTTTCAGAGTCACAGGTCTTTATATTAAACTACTTTAGCCCACAGTGGCTTCTCAGACCTATATAAACATGAGGGGCTGTAACAACCCCTTTCTGAACTCCTTAAGTTCATCATTTATGTATTACAAGCCATTTTACATTTACTGTTCTATTGTGTCAAGGGCTATAATGATTTAATTGAAATGAGAGTATTAAGTAATAAGTGGATTATTTTGTGTGACCATTCACAAGATAACTGCTAGTCTAGTCAAAACACAGCAGCACTCAAACTATAAAAGGCTTCAGAGAAACATAACTGTTTAGAAAAGTATATATTGATATTAATATTATTTACAGCATATATTCAGTCACAAAAATGGGTAAGCCATGTTACTCTCATGGCAGAAGTCACACTAACAACACCCTAACAAGTCCACCATCGAGAAATGCTATGGTGAAACCTAACATTTCAAAAATATTTGGCATAAAACTAGCTACCATCACTACACTCTACATCTACCATCACTGCACTCTACATCTACCATCACTACACTCTACATCTACCATCACTGCACTCTACATCTACCATCACTACACTCTACATCTACCATCACTACACTCTACATCTACCATCACTGCACTCTACATCTACCATCACTGCACTCTACATCTACCATCACTCACTCTACATCTACCATCACTGCACTCTACATCTACCATCACTACACTCTACATCTACCATCACTGCACTCTACATCTACCATCACTGCACTCTACATCTACATCACTACACTCTACATCTACCATCACGCACTCTACATCTACCATCACTACACTCTACATCTACCATCACTGCACTCTAAATCTACCATCACTGCACTCTACATCTACCATCACTGCACTCTACATCTACCATCACTACACTCTACATCTACCATCACTACACTCTACATCTACCATCACTACACTCTACATCTACCATCACTACACTCTACATCTACCATCACTACACTCTACATCTACCATCACTACACTCTACATCTACCATCACTGCACTCTACATCTACCATCACTGCACTCTACATCTACCATCACTGCACTCTACATCTACCATCACTGCACTCTACATCTACCATCACTGCACTCTACATCTACCATCACTGCACTCTACATCTACCATCACTACACTCTACATCTACCATCACTGCACTCTACATCTACCATCACTACACTTACATCTACCATCACTACACTCTACATCTACCATCACTGCACTCTACATCTACCATCACTACACTCTACATCTACCATCACTGCACTCTACATCTACCATCACTACACTCTACATCTACCATCACTACACTCTACATCTACATCACTACACTCTACATCTACCATCACTACACTCTACATCTACATCACTGCACTTACATCTACCATCACTGCACTCTACATCACATCACTGCACTCTACATCTACCATCACTGCACTCTACATCTACCATCACTGCACTCTACATCTACCATCACTACACTCTACATCTACCATCACTGCACTCTACATCTACCATCACACACTCTACATCTACATCACTGCACTCTACATCTACCATCACTACACTCTACATCTACCATCACTACACTCTACATCTACATCACTACACTCTACATCTACCATCACTGCACTCTACATCTACCATCACTACACTCTACATCTACCATCACTGCACTCTACATCTACAATCACTACACTCTACATCTACCATCACTGCACTCTACATCTACCATCACTGCACTCTACATCTACCATCACTGCACTCTACATCTACATCACTACACTTACATCTACCATCACTACACTCACATCTACCACACTGCACTCTACATCTACCATCACTGCACTCTACATCTACCATCATACACTCTACATTTACCATCACTACACTTACATCTACCATCACTACACTCTACATCTATCATCACTGCACTCTACATCTACCATCACTGCACTCTACATCTACCATCACTGCACCTACATCTACCATCACTGACACTCTACATCTACCATCACTGCACTTACATCTACCATCACTGCACTCTACATCTACCATCACTGCACTCTACATCTACCATCACTGCACTCTACATCTACCATCACTACACTCTACATCTACTATCACTGCACTCTACATTACACATCACTGCACTCTACATCTACCATCACTGCACTCTACATCTACCATCACTGCACTCTACATCTACCATCACTACACTCTACATCTACCATCACTGCACTCTACATCTACCATCACTGCACTCTACATCTACCATCACTAACACTCTACATCTACCATCACTGCACTCTACATCTACCATCACTACATCTACATCTACCATAACTACACCTACATTACCATCACTGCACTCTACAATCTACCATCAGTACAACTATACTTCTACTGTCTCTACACTACACATCTAACACACTACATTATACAATCTACATTACTACACTATACATCTACCACCACTGCATATACATCTATCACTACACTCTACATACACCATCACTCACCTACATCTACTGCTTCACTATACATCAATCATTTCACATCTACCACCACTAAACTATACAAGTACCATCACTATGCTATACATCTCTCATCATTGCACTATAATCTACCATTACTACACTATACATCTTCCATTACTACACTATACATCTACCACCACTACACTCCACATCTACCATCACAACACTACACATCTACTATCACTACTCTATATATCTACCATCACTACACTATACTCCTATTACCACCACTACACTTTTCATCTACTACCACTAAAGTTCACATCAACAATTACTACACTATATTTCTGTCATCACTACACTAAACATCTACCACAACCACAATACATATCTACCATCACTGCACTACACATCTAACACTATTATGGTAAACATCTACCATCACTACACTGTATATCTAGCAACACTACCCTATATATTTAGGACCACTACACTACAGATCTATCACCACTACACCACACACATACCACCACTACACTATACATCTACTGCCACTACACTATACATCTACTGCCACTACACTATACATCTGCCATCACTACACTGTACATCTATCACTACACTATATATCTATCACTACACTATACATCTACCACCAATTCACTATACATCTACCATCATTTTGCTATACATCTACCATCATTACATTGTACATCTACCATCACTACACTATACAT